CTACCACGACAGGTGAATGGAACAAGATAAGTTTTATTTGGGTTTAGGAATAGGCGATTAAAATTAAACCAGTTACTGAGTTTATCTAGTGTTTCACAAGCCTTTTTTTTAACATCGGGCAGGTTTTTACCAGAGATTAACGCCGTAGTGTCATCTGCATACAAGACTAAGCAATTTAGAAACATGACAATGTCGTTTATAAAAAGTATGAATAGGATGGGACCCAAAACGGATCCTTGAGGTACTCCTACATTAACAAACAACGGTGACGATAAGAATTTAGATATAGTTCCTCCATTTTTGAACTTAATCTCTACCTGTTGGCATCTGTGGGATAGATAAGACGAGAACCAATTTGCAACCACACCCCGTATACCATAAAAGTTTAATTTGTGCAATAATAATGAGTGATCGACGGTATCGAAGGCTCTGCTGAGATCACAAAATATAGCAAGAGTACTTTGCTTTTTGTCAAGATGGTGTATGATGTCACAATGTATGTAATGTAATGTAACAAATGAGTTAATTGCAGTTAATGTCGATTTTCCACTACGAAAACCGTGCTGTTTACTGCTTATAATGTTATGTTTAAAAAGGTGACAGTTTAGTCTTTCCAACATAGCGTATTCAAAAATTTTGGACAAAGCTGAACTGACAGATATTGGTCTATAGTTAGCCCAGTCCTGAGTGCTACCTTTTTTATGAATAGGATGAACCAGCGATGTTTTTAGTTCTTTTGGGAAAACACCTTGAGAAAAGGACATAACTAAATGAGTAATGGGTTTCAATAAAATTGGTAAACTATTCCGTAGTAAAAAGGTAGGTATATGATCAGGTCCTGAAGAACTTTTGTTTTTTAAGGAATTTAAACAGACTAAGAGTTCATTTTCACTGAAAGGAAATGCACACATACTGCCACAAATACCAGATTTTTCGAAATTCAGCTCAAATTCGTTGTTTGAATTTGAGCTTGTGCTTACAACGGTTCGAAGTATGTCAAGAGGAGCATTAACAAAGTTTTCATTGAACATGTTGGCAATTATTTGTGGATCGTCGATAATTGTTTCAGATCCAAATCTTTCATAATTAGAAATAGTATATTACATTCCTAACCTAACTTCGTTCGCTACGAATTGTTCCCTGCATACGAATAAATATTAAACATACAGTACCCCCCGGAGAACGATTCATACCCCTAGACTATCAAACTTACTTATGATGAATATTGTCGTTTTAGAAAACGCATTTTGTTACCAGCCATTTTCATTTAAAACAAGTATTATTGCCTTACATCCGTTGCAAAATAACGCATCATTCGGAAAGAAATCCTTTTATGTCGAATTTGTCAAAACAAGCCAATTTAAAGTTGAAAGAACGAAGTTTGTATCTCAACGTTGTTATTCCATTCTTGGCGTATATGGCCTACCAAATTTAATTTTTCCTTTCTTCTGTTTGAACATTAAAAATAGAACACACGCATTCTTATAAATTGCCACTCGGCCCTTTTCTTCCTTCAAAATGGCTACCTTTACCTATCTGGTGGCGTATCATTTTAAAAAAGGTATAGGAGTGTTTATGCGGAAAAATTGGAAACATTACGTTTTTTAAAGAGATGAGAAAGGCAAAAGGGAGTTGAACATTTTGTGTTAAGAAAATCCATGTAAATATACATAACAATCCACGTGATGTCCCACACTTGTTAGAGCTATAAGAAGTGCAAGTTTAATGAGCGTACCGTTAAAAGAGTATTGCATTGGATTTGCGCTTTCGCGTGATCGATTTCTGACCTTTTATGAGCTTAAAAGCTCAGCTTTGGCATCCTCTCTTTGACATTCTATCCTGCATTATATATTCCGAACTTGGCGTATACTCGTAGTATCCGTCAACCTACATGTACATATTAATCAAGGTTAAAGTTTTATTTATTTCCAATAGAATCATAAATATAATATAGGACATGTCAAAATTTACATTGTTACATATAAAACATACAAGACGAATTAAAATATTCTTCAAGGGAATAAAATTGATATGATATTAATGCGCGTTTAAACCTTTTTAATGTTAGAGATTTAAATCCTTGTGGTAATTTATTCGACTGATTGAAAGGTTACAAACAGCAAACTGTCGCATAGTTTCACCCACACAAATGTATGCATCTGATGTATACTCTCTATTAACGTACGCGCGTAACTAAAATTTGCGAATATTTTATAAGCCACTTGAAATAATGTCGAATCTTCAAATAATTATCATTTGGCAATTTCTCAGCCTGTTTAAAGCCCGCTTGACATGGAGCAATAAAAATTGCAATTGCATGCAAGTTGCAAGAAAAATTGCGAAAGGCATGCGCAGTTCAAAGCCAGCTGATCAATTGCTGCAAGAGACTTGCATGCAATTTTTATAGGACCGGTGCTATTTTTCTTGCATGAATCGTGCAATTCTAGGGATAAATCTAGTTGTTTTTGTGTCACCAACCTAGTAAAATACAGCGGCGGCAACTATGATGCTGAGAGACGCACTCATTACTTGTTTTTATTAATCTTATTTATTCTTGTAATTTTTCACGTTTCTTCAAGCAATCAAAATTTAATTTTCATTTGAGGTTAACTACTTTGTTGACAAATCCATATGTTTCTTCTGTTGGCAGACATGTGGCAATTGAAATAGAGTTGCACCATGTCAAATACCATGCAATGCTTATTGCATGCAAGGATTTGACCTTGCAATTTCTTTCTGCAAGTTCTTGCGCGTTGTATTGCTCCATGTCAAGCGGCCTTGAACGTACAGTAATTATAGAGAGAATTCCGCACGACCGTCTTTGCGCTATGGATAAATGTAGGTATATTGCAGAATTTGCAAATAATAGTCATTTTAAACGATAAATCGAGATCGCATTAAAACCGATTTAACTAAATATTCTGTATTTTGAACATCAATGTGACAATTTATACCTACCGCATTACTCGCAAATTGCTCAAAATTTAATTCGACTTTTGACATTCAGCGTAAATTGAATTTGATTTTGAATTTATTACTGTACATTGTCAGTACTTATCACGCATCGTTGGGCGGACGTACTCCACAATGCCATATAATACATGTAGTTTTGAAAATAAATTATAGTTATGAACAAAAATAAAACATATTGCTCCAAGGGCGATTTTGAAAATCCCGTTTTGATTCCATGATCAGTAAGATCTTGTCGTGAGCAATCACATTCCCTTTGTTGGTGGCCGCTTCCAACTTCCCGTTCGCTGGCAATTCGCGTTTGAAGTGATGACTCCACTATCAGTAATTTCATATTTTCTTCACTTTACAATTATTTTGTGGGATTCCAGCAGCAGATTAAATGTTCAATGATCCCGTAGGGTCAAACGGAGGAGCTCAGCCGCTTTTTTAGATCCGCTGTAGAGATTTATGGTTATTTACTCTGTGGTACAGTACTAAAATGCTTGGATCAGTGACCGTAGAAATTTATAACTAACTGAAATGTCGACTTCCAGCAGCAGACTAAATTTAATACCCTAAAAGCCCTCTGTATACTTCTCGTTGGGCCACTCTGTATATACATTGTTGGTAATGGCATTATTCCCAGATTTTTGAAAAGTGGTTGGCAGTGATCTCTCCAACCTGCACTATCAATTATTCTTAGAGCGTTGGGGTATAAATCCGGAGGTCGGGTGTTCGAACCTGGTTTGAGGTGAATTTTTCATCTGTGGCAGAGATGGGAATTTTCTTAGATCAGTTTCGAGCATTCTGCCGGCAACTCCGAATTAGGTTTTTCTGCAGTTTTCCTAATTCGTAAGGTAAATACCGGAGTAGTATAGAACAACTTAAGACCTTCTGCAGGGGCACCTCTAAAAAGCATTATGCGGGTTACTCTGTAATTGAGCGTAAGCCCGTTGAGGGCCTAGAACAAGAGGGACAATAAATAAATAAATTCTTATCACATTTTTTTGCATAACAGTAGTCCATAGCACAGATAGGCATGGAATAGTGCATGGTACTTGAGGCGCAAAAAATATAAGGATTCCTTATTACAGATTAAGCAAATCAAAAAATAATAGTCCAAGAGTTGAATTGTACAACTATCTTCCAGGTCCTGTTAAGTGTCAAGACTTCAATCAGTTTAAATTTACTATTAAGAACCATCTTCTGAACCACTGCGTTTACTCTGTAAGCGAATACCTAAACACACCCTGTGATAACTTAATGTAAAATACCTTCTATTTGTTCTCTTTAATTACTGTTTTAAAAATTTACTATTGTTCATGAATAATTTTAGTGTGTTATTAGTTGGATGTATCACTGTATTTGTTTATGTTATTTTATGTATATGTGTATATTTTTTAATTAGATGCCAAGGATTGGTGGAATGACAAAGATTATTATTATTATTATAAGCTGTGATTAAGGTACATCTACTAGCTATCATTTTTAGCTTACGGATGACAAATATGCTTATGGACACCTTTTTCGATAGCTCGTCAACGTGTGCTGACCAATTCAAGTTTTCGTCAATTTTTATTCCCAAGAATTTAGCGTTAATATTTACTTTATTTATCTTAGTCGAGAATATTAATCTTTGTGTTTTCTCTGTGTTTAAGTTTAAGCCATTATTGTTGAACCACTCCTCGGCTTTAACTGACGTATGGAACAAGTAGGATTATATAACTAACGGGAGTATTTTAAAAAGAATGTCAATCTTAACTTCTGAAGTACCGAATTTATTTTTTAATAAAATTTTGTTTTCGAAGTATAAGAATTTCGATATGGATTCTTGGCGAAACACACGCTTTGTACAAAAATGTTCGCAAGCTATGAGCGTATAAGCAAAGTTTTTAGAATGTAGCTACCAATTTTAAACTTTTAATTATATTTGCATTTAATCAAAATTAAATATAACGCATTAACTTAATACCTTGAGTAATATACTAATTAACTGAAGTAAAAACATCGGAACATGGTACAATCCGTATAACGTCTGGAGAATCCTGTTACTCTATGGCTTGAATACTTTCTTGTTTGGAAATTGTAGGAGGCTTTGTCAGTTCTTTTTCCCGTAAGACTCTTTCTCGAATTATCCTACGTTTGTGATTGCAACGTTGATTATAACCGTCTAGTAATATTCGGCGTTCGCGTCCTGCCTTGGCCATTTTCAACCAGTTAAAAGTATATTGGTACGTATTATCGCTAACAAACTTTTCATACTTTTCCGCAATTCGTGTGTAACTATTAAAGTACACACTTTTATTGATAACGAATTCTCCACCTTTATATGGATCTACAGGACTCTGTGGCTTTTTCTGAACCGCGTCAGCAAACATCATCGCAACTGTATCTTCATATATCTTCGGGGCACTTTTTAAAGCATCTTTCAATTTTTCCTGCTTTCTAGTGCTTTCCTCTTTAACTTTTATTAATGGTAGCTGTTGCACCTCCAATAGAGAAGGATCTAAACCTCTTTTAGTTAACAACAACGTATTCATTCGTTCGACCTCCCTTTCTCGCCATTGTGCGTCTGCATTTATTCGATCCCGTTGTTTAACATTTATTGCCTCTTCTATCACTTGAACTGCCTTCTCATCTTGTTTTTTTTCTTCACCGGTAACCGACTTTGCCCTGTGACTAACTGATAACTCTGGGTTTTTAACATTCCATTGTTCATTCCATCGTACAATGCCCCGTTTTCGTTCAGCTTCTGCACAAAGTAATTGATAGAGGTGTGATAATTCCTTTTTATCTTGTTGGACAGTGTTATCCGTAAGAAACAATCTGAATGAACTGGTATAATCACACAATCCAAGAATTTGTTTCTCAAGAGGCAAAGGATGTGCGTGGGATCCAAGAGTCCACTTTCCGGATCGTAAAATGTTATATTGACATCGATCACTTCTGACCGTAAAATTCCATTGTTCAACATAACCATCAGATCTTGACATTCTAAATGCAGAATGGCGATTGGCAGTCCAATTTCCATGCGTGTATCGGCATGAACACTTCCTCCATATAATAGGCTTCCCTATAAACTCTAGCAGCCATAGTGCAAAAATTTTGCCTCCCACAGTTAAAACAACATCATCGTATGATGGGCATCTTTTTACGGATACTAATGGGCCATCATGGAACTTAACGAAATTATTTATTGTTGCCGTTTCTTTATTAACAATCTCATTTGAAGTGTAATCATACCCTTCCCACGTGATTATGAAGAAATCGCCTTCTGCACTACCTAAGAGATACTCGTTTTCAAGATCACGATTATCTTTTAGCTCAGCTTGAAAGTAAATCCGTTCATTTAGATCAAATTTGCGATTTGGATCACTGGGATGTTTTTGTACATACGTTGTAGCCGACTCTTGTTTTCCCACCACCATGAGTGGTAAATGGCGAGTGGTGTTTGGAGCAAAAACGTTAACTTTAAATATAGGTTTAAGTACCCTGTGAAATACTTTAAACGGAGACACATCGGTCATTAGCGCAGCTGGACGAGATTTAATATGGCGGTATTTCTTGTGAGCTGCAAGTGCGCCTGTTGGTGGTTTCCCACGTAAATCCCAAAACTGAATGGTCCCATCTAAAGACGTGGTGCTGAATTGTAAACTTGTCCTTTTTTCATCTTCCGAAATTCTCCTTATCTTTCCAGTCTTGTCTATCTCCTTAAATGGCGATATCCATGTAACTGCCGTAATGGCACTTATTGGAGAATACTGCAACTGAGAAACAACTGTGGCTCCAACAAACCGGCGGTTACTCGTGTTTTTCATCCATGACATCATCGAATGCATTCTTATTCGATATGCGTATTGATCGGCAGTCAAAATTTCATCCTCTTCTACTTGTTTTAATTTATTGGTGATGTCCCATAGAATAATTTGACCATTTACGCATCCGCCGACTAACAAATTTTCATCATATGGACAAAAAGACAACGAAGATACATCTCGGTGTATTTCCAAAAGGAGTTTAGGCATTAAATGGTCATCTATGCTCCACAAATGTACAGGAGTTATTTCAAATGTAGCACGATGAACTTCATCTACTTCTGATTTTCCATTAATATATAAACCAAGGGCCTTGTCCGCATAGCTTATGGCGACAATCCCTGTCCACATGGGATGCCAGCTTACGGCCGAAATTACCTTGCCTTTTTCGATACTATGCTGGTAGAAGGAGGAAAATTCTACCAAATGGAATTCTTGTGGTTTCTCTGGTCCAACTTCGTCTTTCACTAGTAACTTGTAATCGCTTGTAAAGAAGTCAATAGAACCATTTACGTAAATCGAATCGTCAAAGATGTTCATGGTATTTTGCGCGAAGTATTTTAAGTTTCGGATATACTCTTTGGTTTCTTTCGGAAGACTGTACGTGTACTGGTACTGGGTGGTCTCGTTTTTAGGATACCGGTAATCAGTTTGCGATGATGTGGCTGTCACAAATGGAGTAGCTTGAGCAACGGCATCAATTTTTCTTCGTATTACGTTGGTATAGGTAGATCGTAGTGAAAGTATTTCAATGTAACCGTCTTTCGCCTTTTCCACCGGTCTTACTTTGAAGTGACTTGGAGCAGGTTTAACGGGATATGAGGTTTCAATCTCAACTTTTATCAGAGGTCGATTAGCTTTATACATCATATCAGAGATTTCCGGTGCACTACCCTGTGCTCTCCAAGGTTTACTAGTTTTCAAAGTTGTATTATTTAATTTTTCGTTTCGTTCAGTTTTTACTTGACTAATAATATTGTTAGCCCTTTCTTCTGCCTCAATACTTAAGCAAAAGTAGTACTGATCTTCATCTTCACTCTCATCAGGTAAATATATAATTAAAATTGAGGGATTGGGAAATGTTAAAACTTCATTTTTTATTTTAAAAAATTCAGACGATTCATTAAGTTCAATGTTCTGCACTACTGCTTCCTTTTTAATATATTTCCACGGATTTTCTGAAGTAACATCTTCCCCGCATACACATTCTACCGCGCGTTGAGCATCTTCCGTTAGCACTAACTTTACTACACCTGGAAAAGCGAATGACGGTGATGAATACTCAGGTTCAGGAACCTTCCGTTTCACTCTTCTGTATTTACGTCTTTTAGGGAAAGGAATATCTTCTTCCTCGTTTGTTTGATCATCATCTCCAATGTATTCATTCATCGTTAATGTGGTCTGTTTAATTTACGAAGGCTGTCATACTACTGTCAGTGTAGCAAACTGACGTGATTTAAAAAATATCAGTAACCAAGGCCAAGGGACAGATGGTGGAACAACAAAATAGTATAAATCGACCTTTAACGAACTTACCAGGTGAAGTCCGATCACATCCGCGTCGCTTGAAAGAGAGGGGACCCGTAATAGAGAGCGCGCGCGTGAAGCAAATTGCGATCATACTGCCACCACCAGTGGCGCCCGCTCGGATATTACATTAGGAAATTACAATTTATTTATACTGCCATTATGGGTATGATTAACCAGTGTGTACAGTTCTCGGACATAATATTGGGTTCTTATTTGAATAGAGAGATAAAAAACGCGTAAAACGTTAAGCGCAATATTATTGAAAGTATACTTACATAAGTATGTGTATAACCACATATACCTTTAGGAAAATTCTGCACACCTCGTTTTTGAAGCGATCAAAACTGAAAAAGCGTAAATTGTAAAAGAGTATAATGTACGGTATATGTTCCATATGCTCCAATAACACTTTGCACACATTTCGCTTTTAATTAATGCACAACAACTTGAACAATTTGTTCAATATTGCAGAGTTCATGCTTTTTGAACAAACATTATTTATTGCAATATTTTCCACTTCTATTTCATTTCAATTAATTGAAGCATTATTTGTTCGTTGCTTCCTTGCGACGGACAAGTTATATAGAATAGGGATTGTATCCAGAGGAATACAACTCTCCACCCCACTATCTCACAACTCTGTTGTAATCAGCAAGCGTTTGTAGGTATATGCACTTTCAAACTGCCTTGAGGTGGGGTTGTTATTCTATCCATCCCTTGATCTTTTAGAAGAAGAAAATAATTCCACATGGTCCTGGCTTATTTTAGGATCCTTCGCAAAAAATACATTGTCGATTCCCTATGGCGCGTACTACCTGGGACACATTGTATCTTTTTCTTCCCGATATATCTGCTTGCTTGTGAATGGCAGTTAGTGCTTCTGACGTGAATCCTGGGGAAAAATTGACTGATTTATACAATTTGCCGACGGTGCACAGCAGTATCATACACTGTTCTGAAATAATTTTACCCTTTTGGAGACAGATCATTGGTTATACACTCTTTGCAGCTAAGTGCGGAGAACCAGGTGATCATGCGCTTAGCTCCCGGACTATAAATGTGACGAATGCCGATATACATTCGATATTGCTAGGGAGACCATTTGTAGGTGTGATGTGTCATGCACTTTACTTGGAGGCGGTTATTGCAAAGTTATTTTTTGATCTGGTATTATATTTGTGGGAATCGGAATTAAAGCAGAATACTGCGTAATACAAGATTGGCTGGTGTAATTTTGATTGTAGTTGTTCAATGTGTTCCAGTTGAGATTTCGGTCTAATATAACTCCGAGAAAGTTGCAGTAATTACGTGTTTCGATTATTGTCGATTCATAGGTTTGAAATAACAGAAGTTGAATTTTTGTTATAGACAAGTACTTTAGTTTGAGTTATATAGGTCAACCCTAAACACATCATGGTTTTTATTATGTAGCTACTTTTGTTATATTGTAGCGCAAATTTTAGTCATTTTTTTCTTAAGAGTTTTAGGTCACTGTACAATTTGCTTGCATCCAAATCGGAAAAATTAAACTTGCAAGTCGCAGCAGACGACCCTAAGTAATATTGGTTTACAACTTGCGTTGTATTTGCAAACACCAATAATATAAACTACAGCTATACACAAGGGACTCGGAGGAAACAACAACGAATAAGTGTTCAGATATGATTGCAGTGTCTATCTGAATACAGATACTTTCAAATATTCTGAAAGTGGCAAGATTATGCATTGAAGGCAATGAAAGTAAATTTGAATAACGTCTGTTAGAAACCCCAACTTTGTGCTTGACATTGAAATCTCTCACTCACGAACATGCAGCATTCACAAAAGCTATAAAATTTGGAGAATCCACACAAAATCCTACGAGCTTAAAAGCCTATATAGCTATTCTCCGTTCTCTCGACATAAAATGATGTGGTTTAATGTTGAGAGCAGACAATGAAAGTTAAAACCCCGACAAGTTCTTAGGTTATGGTATAGGTCTATTAAAATTTATAAGGTCGTTATTGCGGCAATCGCTAAAAGTATGTTATCATCTAATTGGTATTGCTCACATTTTTACGATTTTGTAGAGTATAAAACTTTGTCTCCTTACACAAACTACTTCTGCAAAGGATAACGGAATGTGCCACGCCTGGCAACATTTATTTAACTCAATTTTTTATGCAAATTTTACGAAGGGGTAATGAATACAGAGTATAATGTACTTTACAACACGTACTGCCATTTCTTGCAAATGAGACATCGAACATCGGTCAGAAATGAAATTAGGATAAGCAACTCCTACGGTCCGGACGATTAACAAGCATTCTGAATAACGACGACCATTTGTAGTAAAAACTCCTAATCACTGACGAGCATCTCTTAAAACCAGCCAAGCAGGGTAGCGTCACAGTATGGGTACAGTTGGTATAAAACTGCACCACGTACACTTGGGTATGACTCATTTTTTAAATCGCTGTTAATCGGTGCACCGGCCCTTGATAAATTTTTAATTTCAGTTTGAACTGGTATCATTGCATAAGTAATCACTTATTCAATGCTGGTATGCAAAGTGTAACTAGTTCAAAATTTTCTTCGTTGAGTGCACCCTCCACAGTTGTACCACAGATTTAAATATACTACAGATGGATCATGAGATAGGCGATTGTGGAAACACAACAAACGTTCCAGTTGCTAGAGCACCTATATGAATTTTATTAAATCGAAAGTTTTAGTTTGCGTCTCAACTTAAAATAATCAGCAGGAGTCTGTATAACGATGGCATAGAAGGTTTTTACTATTGATGGTGCTGAAAAGCAATAGGATATTAATCTTTTCTTCGTAATTAAAACAATGGGTCTTTGTATTGTGCGTTTGCCGTTTGTGTTCAAATACGACCTTGTGTGGGCGTATCTGTGGCGGTTCTCTCTCCTTTAATTTAAATTAATAAAATCCAAGAACAATTTTTTTCTATAGAATGGTAGTTTCAGTTTCAGCGTGAAAATTAAAATTCTGTAATCAACTACTATCAATCGAAAGTTTTGATATGTCTATACGTTCATTCAAGGCATCGCCAAATGAAATTGAAATCGGGTGTAAAATTCTTGCAGAACAGCTTTTTATAACTACTCGAAAACTTCACTCGTTATCTGTTTGTTTATTTTAACTTAATTTTACTACCCGCATGTCAGTAAGGGAGGTATTGCAGTGGGGTAAAAAATGACCCCCCCCCCTTTTTTGACGGGAATACATCAAATACATGTTTTGAGGCACCAGGAATCCGAATCAAACAAAATCTCGATTATGTATACAGGGTGATTTATATCAAAGTTGTATTGTTTTAAATAGAACTCACCTATATTATTGCATATTTCGATTACTTGGTCAATTTTAGTGTGACTTTATTTACACATGATATCTAAAATGAGTGGCTGAGCGTCATTTTTTCAAATAATAATAATAATAATAATAATGCCTTTATTAAATTGGCGAAAGAAGAAAAAAATACATATAAAAAATGGTGAAATGGGGCGAAGTTCAGTTCCACAGTAAGATACCGTAGTCTGCTCTACCACTTAACCCCGTACATTACATGTATACTACAAATATTTCAAAATGGTGTTGCTTTAATTGCATAGATGGTTACTACTCTAAACATTGAACGTTAAGCCACTTTTCATAAGCGAATGGAGTTTGTTTTTGAACCGAGCACTTGTAAACTGTTTTACGATGTCTGGTACCTCATTATAGATTTTTACAATATAATAAGAAAATGCTTGTCCAGATGTCCAGTAAAAATTGAAAACGAAGTTTCCATAAAACTTAGAAAGCCATGACGCTGCAGTATTACGAATCATCACGTGTGCTTACCTACATACACCGAACGGTCAAAGTTAAACTTTTTTGTGCTAAAAGAAATCATTGTCAATTTTCAAAATTTCAATCAAAGATAACTTGATTTTTTTTAATGAAACTACCAAGGTTTTTATTGCATCAAATGTAGGATTTGATTACCTTTCTAACGATATAAGCACGCCGTATTTACCTTTTATACATGTTTTTGTAATTCAACCATTTCTAATAATACACAACGTTTTTCGATTTTCAAAGCCTCTCAGTAATTAATAGGCCGTTAAAAGTTATAAACACCTAGTTATATTGAAAAAAAGTGCAACTTTGATATAAATCACCCCGTATAACAATTGCAATTTCGTTGAAAATATTTTTAGGTTGTAGCCTGAAGAGTCCTTCAATATGCCCCGACAATGAATTTTAAATATTGTTTTCAAATCCTAAGTATTTAGTAACCGCGCACTAAGCTGCTGTATTTCGGAGAATTTAATATATATATTTTTTTGTAATAAAACCAAATTTGTGTTGGTTAAACCAAGAAAAATAATCTCTTTCAAATAACTAAATAAAAAATTTAGCGCTACTATGTATTTGAAAAAAAAGTTTATTTGTAATAAAACCTAGCATAATTTGTGTAGGTTGTTACACAGAAAAAGAAAGTCTTCCGAATAATTTAATAAAAATTTTGCGTTATTGCTATTAAAAAAAAATAGTATCCTTTATGCAAAATCTGCCAACGTATGTATACGAGTTAAAACAGACAGTAAAAATTTTTATTCTTTAAAAGTTGCTTAAAATGATCTAAAACGTTGACGTTTGATGAAATTTTGATACGTCCAAAAACGGTAATCGCAATATAGCCACCCCGCGCTTTTTGACAACCCGTACGGATTTACTACTATCTCAAAATATATCGAAGTACTTTCTTCACTATTTTGTTCCGCATTATCATGCAGCCTTAGAAATTCATGACTATACCAAGAACAGAATGGTTCCACGTACATATCGTGGAAATTGTAACGTCTACT